TGACGGGGCTATTCCAAAAAATGTCATTTTAATGTTATGTGACCAACATGGTGCATTTCTTAAAAAAAAAAAAATTTTGTTTAAGGAAGCGTTACCTTTCTATCAAATTTTTTAACATTTTTAGAAAGGTCTCTACCTTATTGTTTCCAATGTTCTCTCAGGTGATTGAGGAGCCCTACCTCAAGGTGTTATACACAACAGATGAAAGGTACACTGTAAAAAGGTCCTTCTATTCCAACAAGATAAGTACCAGCAACTCGGCAGTGCACCCCTCTCAGTACCTCTCAATAACCGTGGATGCTGAGGAGAAACGGCAAGTGGAGCAGCAGATGAAGGTAAGCACTTCGTATCAAAGACAACCTGAACCCTTTCCTTCAGCCCATCGTGGTTTGGGAGTCTTGGTGCTAATACAGAAGGTTGGGTTTGTTTCTTAGGACTTCAGTCAGTCTTGTTCATCTCTGTCCCAATTAGGCCTGTGAGTCGAGACTGCGAGAGATTGATGAGCGAATGAAGGCCCTGCAGAAGGAGGCTGCCGCTCTGGATCGAGAAGAAAACGAACTGTTATCGGAGAAGAAACGTCTCTCTGAGCTGAAGGGGAAGAGGAGACAACTGGAACAGAAAATCAGCACAAAACAGGACAGGTAAGCCTGTGGGGAAAGGACAGAGGGGTGTTTTTTTTGTTTTTTGAAATGTAGATATATTTTCAAACTTTAATGAAAGCACATCTCTGTAACGTGGCAGAGATGGGGCAGATTTAAACTTTAAGAACAATCTAATCCTTTTATTGTCTTTTAGTCTGAAACAGATGGAGCAGAATGTTATCGATCTGAAAAAAGTTGAGGAGGAAACTAAAGAAAAAATTAAGGCTGTTAATTTCCTGAAGGTGACCATAGCTACAGCAATCGTGGCCCAAATGAAGGTATGAAATATTCAACCTTGAACCAAAACAAGATCATCCTGTGTTTCCTATCTGTGGGGGGGGGGTTTGAAGTTCATTTCTGTAATGCAATGTGTTCACATGCTGCAGAGCAACACTACATTTCTGCACTGCACATTAACACTTCCACCATCTTCTCATCTTCTGCAGCTGAGAGCCAAGCTGACGATGGAGAAGGTGCATCTGGCTTTGGAGATGGCGGGGTTAACGGCAGAGAAGAACAAGCTGGAAAACGACTGCAGGGAAAGTGCCTCTGAATTTAAAACCATGGAAGTAAGCATTGCAACGCAGCGCTGGATTGCTGCCACGTTCCCACCGAGGACCTGGCAGCACGGCCTTCATTTACCTTGTCATTGCAGCAAAGATGCAGCCGTCTGGAGCAGAGGAAGGTCCAGCTGACTGAACAGTGCAAAGGCCTGCTGAAGAGGGCGAAGTCCAACTGTCGGATGCAGCCAGACGAGGCGTTATCAGAAGAGCTGCGCCATGTTAGTCTTCATCCTCCATCTTTATGGTCATAAAGCATGAAAGCCTTCTGTGACTGATGTATATTTATTAGCTGTTCTGTTAACGCAGGCTTTCAGCAAACTGCCCGACACGCTGGATGAGGTCGATGCCATGCTGAACGAGGAACGCTCCAGAGCCGAGTGCTTCACTGGCCTCAGTGAAAGCGTAAGAGAGTCAAAAACCTGTTTTAACTTGGCTATTTGTAAGAAAACCACAAGTAAAAACAGGGATTTTGTCACTACTAAGACATTTTCACTAGACCAAACTACTAGTTAAGGTTTTGTGTTTTTACAGTGAAATAATCACATAATAAGCTTAGGTTGCTTCATTAAACTTGAAATAAGACAAAACTAATTTACACATGGCTTTCCGGCAAGCTGTATTAGTTTGTTTTAAGTAAATTATTCCTTAATATTAATTTAAAAAAATCCTAGGTACACCAGCAAATTATTTCACATGACATGGGGAAAATGTCTTTTTAAAGAAATAATCCACCGGTGTAACAAGTACTTCTTAAAATCAATATTAAGGAATTTTGTACTTAAAACAAGCTCCTGTAGCTTGCTGAAGTTGCTTTTAATTTAGTTTTCCTTTTTCATGTGAATTGAGATATTTTTACTGGAAAGTAGACCAGAAAGATTTAGTTTATTTTCAGTTTTCTTGTTGTAGTCCAAACATTTGTCCTGTTTGACCCTGTGGTGAAGGTTGTTGAGGAGTACAACAGGAGAGAGCAGGAGATCAAACATCTGGAGAAAGAGCTTCAAAAAAAGACCGACTCCTTGAACGCCTACAGACAGAACATATCTGAGGTGCATCATTTAATGAGCAGCAGTTCTGTTGAATTCGTGTAGTCTGTAGTTTTTCTAACATTGTGTGTTGCAGGCGAAGGAACGCTGGCTGAACCCTCTGAAGCAGCTGGTGGAACAGATAAATGACAAGTTCAGTGAATTCTTCCGCTCCATGCAGTGTGCAGGAGAGGTGGATTTGCACTCAGAGAACGAGGTAAAAACAATCGGGGGCAACACAAACTACAGAGATGAATAATAATCCATGACCAAGAGCTTTATTCTAACAACTATGCAACTATTAAGTATTAGAAGCAATTATTATGTATGTAGATTGAACCAAAAGGTTCAAAAAGGTAAATATTCCCAGATATTTTCCTTGCCATTTTGCGCTTTTAAAACATCCTGTACGAACCTTGTCGATTGCTTGACAATTTGCTCACTCTCAAGTCTGTTTCGATTTGAATTTTTTTTTCCATATTTGCTGTCGTGCTTTCCTTCAGGAGGAATACGACAAGTACGGGATTCGCATTCGTGTGAAGTTCCACAGCAGCACGCAGCTCCACGAGCTCACGCCGCACCATCAGAGCGGAGGAGAGCGCAGCGTCTCCACCATGCTTTATCTGATGGCCTTGCAGGAGCTGAACCGCTGCCCCTTCAGAGTGGTGGATGAGATCAACCAGGTACACTTTGTTCTTAATTGTACTTGAATGTACAGTATAAACGACAGCCTGGCGTGAAATCGAGCTAAAAGGTGCAGTAGAAAGAAAGGCAGCTGGAGAAAGTTTCTTAGATGAGTATCTGTGTGTTTGTTTCCTAGGGAATGGATCCTGTAAATGAAAGGAGAGTGTTTGACATTGTGGTCCGGACCGCCTGCAAAGAGACGACGTCTCAGTACTTCTTCATCACGCCAAAAGTAAGTGTGTCTACTTGATTGACTGCAGTTTGTGTGTCACTTCCTGTTCTACAGAGCAGCTTTGGTGAAATACTCAACCACTCAGGTTAGTTTATGTCTTTTTTATTATTATTATTGTTTAGCTCATGACCATTTTGTGTTTTAACTTGATATTTCCTGCCTGTTAATAACAATCTGTGCATCTCAACAGTTCTTGGATAAAAACCTGTTGTTTCCTGTTTTGACACCCATCAGAGGAAGTTTTTTTTTCTTTCTCAGGTTCTGAACTCTTGGTATTTTTTATTTCTTCTTTTGTCTGTAGCTGCTGCAGAACCTGCAGTACGCCGAGGAGATGACCATTCTCTGCGTCCATAACGGGCCTCACATGCTTCCTCCCAACGAATGGGACAAAACGGCTTTCATCCGACGCCGCCTCCAAAGAAAAGCCAGGGCTTAAACCCAACACAGCTAAACGTTTTAAAACTGGCACTGACATTTCACACATGGTTTAAAATTGGAAGTTGTTTAGTTTTTCATATCAATACCCGGCTTACATCTTTGACTTTACGGTTTATTTTCATGGTTAACTAGACGGAGATTTAAAGTCACCATTTACTATTTGCACTATTCCACTTTCTGTTCAGCAATATGTATGTTTTGCATGAAGCAAAAAAAAATGTAAGATAGTGTGATAAGTCTAAATAAATTTTGTAAGTCAATGTGTCACTCTTTTATAAAAAGGAGACACAGAAATATCCAAAACTACTTTTTACATGCTGTCTTGAAAAGACTGAAAGCACAGAAAATTTAAATTGAGGATAAAAGAGAATAGAAGATAAAAATCTGCACTGATTTACATTTAGATGATCATTTTTGATGAGATTTTCTAGCCACTGTAATTGAACACAAATGGTAATTTCACATTTTTTGACTCATTTATTTAACTTTGAAATGAGACTCGATGTCCTTGAACTAGATTTGGTTTTGCATTGTGATCCCCATTTTTTTTTAGACATCTTGCAACATTCGGGTATTAATTTACAAGTTTCTTTTAGGTCATGAGTATTTATAGTATCTGTATTTTCTTAGGATAAACTAGTGCTGATTTTTCAGTTTAATAGATATAGACTGATCAAAGTTTGTCCAAAAAAAACCCAAAAAACGTAATTTGTTCTTTACTGCACTGCCAAATTTAAAGCATCTTCAATTCTCTTTTTCTAATTTTTTTATTTTTTTTATTTTTATTTTTTGAGGGAAAAAAAAAAGTCCAACTTCATAAATGTTTAGCATCCAAAAGTTTGCGGTGTCAGAAAAGCCAAAAGAAAAAATTTAGAGTATCGAGGATGAAAATGAGTCTACATTAGACTACATTGTTCTGTTTTTGGTTTGTTCACGCACCACCAAAAATAAAAAATAAAAAATCACTGACGAGACCGTTTTATTGTCAGGACCTCATGGTTAGCAGCAGCAGCAGCAGTAGTTGGTAGTTCTTGAAGCCTCCTCCAAAGCTGAAGTTGAGAAAGCAGAGCGCCTGAGAATATTTTCCTGTGGGGGAAAATATTCACATGTTCAAATAAAATAACTTATTTACTTACTTTCAGGATGAGTTGATGTTTAATCCGAATTTTCTATAATCAAGTATTAGCTGCTGTATGTGCTGGTTTCATTCCAACATTTTACCCAGATTTTACCAGTCATGTCAGGTAGTGGTAGGTGTTCCTCCTCGGGTCGACCCAAACCCTGATGCTTTTCTCTTGCTCTTCTTTTAGCTTGAGCTGCTTCTCTAACTTTTCCCTTTTCCTTCAGATAAAAAAAAATAATAATAATTACACGTGTTGAACTGCCTTAAACTCTCCTGACACCTCATCCCTCTCACCCACCGTTTGCTAGGACCCATGGTTTCTCTCTGGCACAACATTTGATTCTTGCTCCAGAATAAGGCCGTATGGTGGTTGTAGATCGTACTCAGTTTGAAATCCAGGCTATCGTTTGGAGGCTGAGGATGACAAAGGAGAAATTGTCTCCGGGTACTGCAGGTGGCTTTCTATGCACCAACAGCTTGGCAAAGAACTTTAAAAAAAAAAAAAAGAAAAAAAAGAAATGTAATGCTGTACTTGTATAAGAGAACTAATATTTTCAGCCTGATTATTTATTTATTTTAAAATAAATATGGTTTCCTGATGGTGGAATTTGTCAAGAGTAATTCTGCCATCACAATGTAAATTTTGTCTCATCCTAGTGTAGCATTTTCTTTCGTTTTTTGAAATCTCTTTGTGAACCTTAGTGATTTTGCACATTTTACCCAATAAACCTACAACAACATATAATACCTACATGAACATTGTCATTTAAAAGTTTTACATAGTGCTGGGGATGCTTAAAGAAATATTATGCAGATATAAAAACAGGATTTAACTGCACCATAATATTATAGTTTGAAAGTATTGAATAATAATAAGCAGTTATTTATTTGAACAAAAAATGTAGCTTCTATTAATTATGGGTTAATTAATTGTAGAGTATTAATTATAGAGTATTTCTATTTTAACTTGGTTTAATAATAACTTACACACTATTAAATTACAAGATCCTAAAGATGGACGATAGACTGAAACCTCGAAAGTCATCAAGACTGTTCAAACTCAGCAGCAAATTGATGACAGAATGAAAAAGAAAATGATTTAAGGGTCAACCGTGTCAGTATCCACACCCTTGGAAAAGCTTTTTTTTTTCCCCACAAGAAAGTTTTGTTCCTTTTCAAAATGTAAAACAAACAAATAAATTGTTGAGTCACTTTCTTTTAATACCATGTCTGATTTAACTAAAATACTTAGTTGAAAAGCAAACTTCATTACCGCAGTTACCTGTGGAGTAATAACAGTCCGTGTAAACGAGCTCAAAGCTTAGCCCACCTGCCGCTGCCTGGACTCGTCCCCTAGTTTTGGAGAAGAAGGACCCGGATCCCGTTTCGACATTTCTGAAAGGGTAAACGGAACCATAAACCGGCCCGTAAACTTTTGTTGCTGTAACCAGAGTCGGAGTTGCGAACTCCAACGTTGCCTAGCAACCTGGTTTCCGGTTTGCTTAGAAGAAATGCGGGGATTTTATACAGTTTGTTCTGAAGTTATGAATACATTTCTTCTTCATCTCACTGAAAAAAAGCCCCCCTTGCCAAAATTATCTTTAAGATGTAGGCGTTATCCTGCTGTTTATAATACTACATTACATCTTCACAAATCTATGAATAAAATTCATGTTTTCCTTAATGTTTAATAATAAAATAAAGTTTGTATATTTATGTTGACATTTAAACTTATTTACTCAGAAAATAAGTTTAAATGTCTAGACTTAACATTTTGAACTGTTTTATTTTAGGAAAAAAAAGTGAGTGAGAAGAGTGAACTTCTTGACTGTTTGGCATTAAAAACTCAAAAGGGAAGTTTCTTCTAATACGAAATTGTTTTAACACATATCGATTCGTGACAGAAACAAAACGTGAAGGCGACAGGGTTGAACTCCTTTTGCATCACCTAGCAGAACATCTGGGCCAATCGCCTCTTCCTATTTGCTCCCAGTACAAACCACACCTCTCACAGCCATGCACCAGGCACCTGAGGGCCCAGGTCAACACTGCTGCATCACTGCTGCGCTGCCAGAGCTGAGATGGGGCACCTGAGGATCTGCGCTCTTTCTGCTGTTTTATCGTGGCTGCTTTTCGCGCACACCTCTGCAGATCTGCCCATGTGCAAACGGGTGAGAAGATTTACACTGTTGTTATCGTCAGTTACTTTTATTTTCTTCCCCCGCCTTGTTGATGTTGTCAGCTGAGACAGATGGTGGGGGTCATGAAATGTTAAAAGATGTATGTTTGAACAATTTCATAACTAGCAGAAATATTCAACTGGTCACCAAATTAAATATCATGCAAGAAGTGGAAGTGATCATTTATAATACATTAATGTTAAGAAATGCTTCCATTTATTTAAGATGAGGTTTAGCAACATTTTGGCCTTCTTGATGTACAATTTGTGTGTGGGGGGGGGGAAAGGGGGGAAAGAAATGTTCATAGCAAGGGTTTGTATTGCAATCTGCTTCCATCTGTTGTTATGGTTATTAGACACTTGTTTTACTACAACGTCCATATGTTGTTTTACTACAACATATGGACGTCGCACCACCCTCCCTTATCTGTTTTTCGGTTTGCATGAGAGCAGTTAATTTTCCTACCAGCCAAAACCGTTTTTATATCAGCCTACTCTGAGCCACAGTGTATGAGCAGCTTTAAAGTTCTGTTATTTACTAAAAGATTAATTTACAAGTAATCCTGAACAGGTGAGTCTGTTCCCATGCCAGTTCCTTTGACCATGAAGAACAGCTGCCACGATGACCGGTTGCCTTGGTTTCCCTCATGTTTGCTCATTGGAGGTGATTAAATTAAGACCCGTCTCCAGTTTGCTGCATTTTTACATTAGACACCTCCCACTCAAACACGCTAATTCCCTAAGGTTGGCTAATGCCGGGGCTTTAGCAGAAAAAACAGAGGCAGAGGAGTGCCGGTGCTGCCGTTTCTGTTAACTATTAATCCCACAAAGCGCCGATTGGTCCCCCGAGTGACCTTCCTTGCTGGACGATTATTACACCTTGTTGTTGACCAGAGACCAGATCTGCAGATTATGCAGAGCTCAGTACTCGTGGATCGGTTGGGGTGGGTGGTGTCACGTCCCAAAATACATCCCTTTGGATGTGATCGCTTGAGCACAGCTAAAACTTTGTCCCCGCGCCGCTGCTGGTTCAAACAACACTCTAATATCTGTTTACTGAAGGATTGTAAGGATCAGCCTTTCTTCCTTCAACTCGGCAAATAATCCCTGAAAAACCGCAGAGCATCCTTGATAGGTCTGACAGTCGAAATGGCCCCATAAACAAATATTAGCCTATCCTTTTATTTGTTTAGGAGGCTGGCCTGGATAGAGGATTGAAATACCAGACGTACTTAATGACCCAGTGATCTCATTTTTACAAACTGTATTATCTATTTTTTCCTCATTCTTGCTCGGTGATGTGAATCGTTTTACTCCTGGGTGACTGGTTTCAAGCTGTTTTCTTTTTTCCTTTTATTTTTTGGTAATGTTTTGTCCCTGAAATATTTGCATCCTATTATAAACACACTTTATGACTCTGTGTGAAAGTCACACCTGTGTTTTGCCTCTGCAGTCTGATTATCACTTTGAGTATACAGAGTGTGACGTACTCGGGTCAAGATGGAGGGTCGCGATTCCCAACAAGGCGGAGACATGCACAGGCCTCCCGGATCCAGTCAAAGGGACTCTGTGCAGTAAGTGACCGCAGTGGTCTGGAAACCTATTTTACACATTTACTGTCCTCTACTTGTTCAGTGTATGGTGCTTGCAAAAGTATATCAATAACTGAAATGTTATAACCACAAACTACAAAACCTGTAGTACTGAAGCAGTGGAAAGACAATTTTTTACATTGGTTTTTGAAAATATTTTAAAAGTGTGTCATACATGTATATTTAGCTCGCTTTATATTAAAAGTGTGCAAAGGTTTACAGTAGAGGGTAGTTTCAAAATCTAAAACTGTTAAGAAATTCATGGAGCACTTTTCAGTTCATCATCTGAAAATGGAAAGCGTACCAAACTTCAAGCCTACCAAAGTGTGACCGTCCACCTAAACTGACTGTTTATCAGAGTGGGAATCAGGAGTCCCACGGTAACTCTAGAGGAGCTGCAGGAATCCACAGCTCATGTGGGACAATCCTCATGTTGTGGAGGTGCCTTTCTAAACAGGGAAGCTATTCAGATTTGATGAGAAGATGGCCGCAGCGTCCGGCCTTCAGATATTCCGGCGAACCATTGATTAAGACCACTTTAAAGAAGTTCAATAAACCTGGTAGATCACCTTTAAATGAATTAGAGAGGGTTTAAGCATTTGTAACGGTGCTGCTCGTCTGCATTATCTCCACGTTTTCTTGGTTTTCCTGTGTTTTAGCATTTTCTTGCAGTGAAGGAGAGTTCCTCGACATGCAGTCGCAGCAGTGCCAGAAGTGCGCTGCAGGCACCTACTCTTTGGGAACCAGCGTTGCCTTCGACGAGTGGGACATCTTACCAACCGGCTTTATTACTCATGGGACGACGAGAAGTGAGGGGAATGCCTTCATAAACTGCTCCAAGTGGGTATAAACAGCAACTGGTCGTAATATAAAATATTATTTATGGTTTAAGACCTTCAGTAAGCCGTTTCTGTTCTTGCAGCTCGACCTGGACACCAAAGGGCGACTATGTGGCCTCCAACACTGATGAGTGCACTGCAACGCTCTCTTATGCTGTGAGCCTGAAGACACCTGGAGTCCTGTCCTTTGAATATTTCTACCCGGACAACAGCGTCTACTTTGAGTTCTTTGTAAGTGCAGCTGATGTGTTACAGCTTCTGGTGTGCAGAAGGAAAATTGGGGTAAAGGGTCCCGCTCCTCTTTAGGTTCAGAATGACCAGTGCCAGGCCACAGATTCTGACAGCCGCTGGATGAGGATTTCAGAGACCAACTGGAGCCACTACAAGGTTCGTCCACTTCAACGCAATTCCTCATCTGTCTTCTTCCAGACAAAAAGCTGATTCCCCCTGCCCCCTCCCTTCACGTTTCCTCTCTACAGATAGAGCTGAGCACAGGCAACAATGTTCTGTACTGGAGAACCACGACATTTTCTCTGCTGGGCAGTGCTGTCAAGCCTGTGCTGTTAAGAAACATCCAGGTCTCAGGTGCATTAAGGCTTCCTACATGTGTGCGCAGGGAGAGGGAACGTTTAGTTTTCTTCCCCGACTTCCTTTGTCTGTTAATGATTAATTGCTGATTGATCTTTTTCCTCCAGGGGTTGCCTACACATCTGAGTGTTTCCACTGTAAGCCAGGCACACACAGCTCCACAGCAGGATCCGCCCGCTGTGCCCCCTGCCCTGCGGATACGTACTCCAACAAGGGGGCCACCGTTTGCCACGACTGTGAATCAGACAGCTATGCTGGTGCACTTTTTTTTTTTTAAATCTCTTCTACACTTACTTATTTGCACTTAAACAATGTTGCCAGCATGCAAAGTAGAACATTTGGTGCCCAGGAGGTGACTGAGCGTTCTTATCACAAAATCTTAATGCGAGTTTTATTCTCTTTCACGTCTGCTCGTTTTTTTTTTTTTTTTACTTGTGTGTTTTGCCACCAGTACCTGGCTCAGGGAGCTGCAAGCCAAGGCCTGCATGCACGGAGAATGACTACTTTTACACCCACACCCCCTGTGACTCTGAGGGAAAGGTAATTATGGAAAACGGCCTTCTCTTGTGGTGCAAGCGGCTATAGAGAGGATATTTTTTGTAACCCACATTCAACGTAATTACATTTCGCTGGCTGTTTGAAGTGATTAGGACAAATATTCATAACCATTGAACTTTTCCCCATCTTGCCATATTAGTCTTAGTTATAGACTTCAAATTTTGAAAGAAAATGGTGGCTTGCATTTGTATTTGAGCCTCTTTCAATCATGCATCGTAGAGAAACTAAGAGGTAAATAGAGTATATCTGAGTGTAATATGATACCAGCATAAATGAAGATATTCTTCTTCAGCATCCCACACTGCAAACATATCAAATGCTGGGCAGATCATGTTTCATATGAAAAACTGTGTGTGACAGAAAGTGTATCACACGTCACACGCACCAAAACGCCATCAAACCTAGTTCATATTCGTATTGTAAAATGGTCCAATCAGAATGCAAAACTAATCCAACTGAGAATCTGTGACAAGATTTTAAAGCCGCGTTTACAGCTGCTTTTCGCCCAAGCTATTTAGTCAAACATTTAGTTTCTAGGCGTATAAAGCGGGTGGACACTCGAAAAGATTTGTAGCTTTAATTACAGCAGACAACCTGCCGATTCGGAGGGTTTTGAACACATATCCACAACACACTTTGATTTTTGATTTTTTTTGAAAACCAAATATCACTCTGCTTCCACTTGACATTCATGAACTGCTTTGGGAAGATCTGTGCCGTATTATTCAAAATTTGTGAACGAGTGCGAAAGGCTAACC